TGCCTTTTTTATCCTTTTTTTTTTTATATATATATATGCTTCAATTATATACAGGTAGTCCACTATTTGTTTGATATGTATTTCATAAAAGCTCCTGGTATTTTGGAAGAAAAATTTTTCAAATTCTCCCCAGGGTATTGTAAATTTCATTTTAACCATGGAGTTAGTTACCAATATTATTGTTAAATTCGGGAGCCCGGACAATCATTGATTATCCTCGGGATATTCATATGGTTATATATATTCTTTTTTTCAGGCTCAACATTTTTTTACACAGAAGGTGACTGATTTTTTTTCCTGCCTTGATGATTTAATTTTTTTTCTTTTCAGGCTTACAACTGCAATTAAAATTGTTTGTCACCACTACATCGGCTATTTTTTAGCCATTTTCAAGTTTGAAGATGCTTAGAATTTGTTTTAACAGTACTTTTCTTGGCACAGAGTGGGCATGATGGTAAAACCAGGAATAAAGAAATTCAGAGCATCTAGAATTGATTTCTGAAAAGAAAAATTTAATGTTTTGGCATCACATGATGCTTATCTTCTAAATCAAAGAATTTCTCCCATTGTGTCCATGTGCCTGCATATATCACCATCTTATATATATATTTTTCTCAACATTGGCTCAAACTTCCTCTTGAATTAGTTGTCACCTCTGTTTACCTTGAGCTTACTTGATTCAGGTACCAGGAAAGAAACCCAAGCCCGCATGACTTGATGCCACTGTCTCCACGAGAGCCTTCTGCCTTAAATACTCCTCTGCAATACTCAGTTTGCCCCCTGCATTCCATTTCCTTCTAATGTGGACCTCTATGCCTGCTGCTGCCACTTTTAGGTTCTTAGAGTCCTTATATTGTAGGAATTCTCTTGTAAAAGAGACTACGAATTCCTCCAGCAACCCTTTAAAGGGGAGATGAAGTGCATTTGATTTGCCATATACTTCTCAGACCTCTCAGCAGCCATCTGTGAAGGTAGCCATTAATTCTCCTTTCCATGGCCTCCACTGATGTCATTATGAAATCATAAATAAACAAAGGCCAGAGAATACATGGGAGAACCATGTGCTGGTAAATCTATGCCTTGAAATGGCCTGGAAGTCCAGACTTGTCCACCGTGGCAAGCCATAATTCCAGTTTGGAGATCATCATTTGGATGGATAAAGTGTCCTTTAAGGAGCTGTTAAAAGTTTTACCTCAGCTCTTCATAGGTTTCTCTGTCAACGTTGGGATAGTAGTTCCTGATATTGAGAACCTGAAATTATCTGCTACTTTCCCCTTCTTTATAACTAATAATCTTCACTTTGCAGGCTTGAAACTCATTCTTGCCCAAGCTATAAGCTTTTCAAGTCTACTCCCCATGACTGAAAATGTTGTAATGGTCAGACAGTCCATGTACACACTGATCAGTGGCTGACACACTCCTGTCTTTATCAAAGGGCCTTGACACTTGACTTCAGCCGATTTGACCACCATATTTATAGTGAAGGTAAATAGTGTAGCTGGGATTGTGCAGCCAGTAATAATACCCCTTTTGAATCTGTGCCAATCGGAAACTATAAACCTGGAAGTGATTCTCATCTTAAAGTTGTTATAATAGTTCAGGATTAATAGGCTGATTTTCCCGGGTATATGATATTTCCTTAGGGCTACTTCTAATAACTTATGTGGAATAGACCTGTATGTGTTGGCAGGGTCCAGTCACAATGCAGTGAGGTTGTCCTTATTTTCTTTAGCTTCTCTTAATATCTGTGTGACTATTCCATTATGTTCAAGGAAAACCTGGATTTCCCACTTCTGCACTGAAGTGTTGATATAATTATTAACCAAAAGAAATCTTGTCAGGTGCTGCAATAAAATACTGAAAAAATCTTACTTTTGGTGCACAATAAAGAGATACCACTGAATTGGTCTAAATTTTTCTTCCTTGGGGATCCACACGCCCTCTGCAAATCTTCATTGGTCTGCAACTTGCTGTATGGAACTCCACTCTGTCCAGGAGCTGAGGCTGATCTAGCTGCCTTCACTACCTTCCTAATCTCTTTCCATTGGCCTGTTTCGATTAATAATGACTTCTTTATGGCTGAGATCCTTGTCTCTTACAGGGTGACTGAATGTGTTCCAAAGATAGGTGTTAATCTCATCTGCAGAGCATTTTATCCCTTATAAAAAAAAAAAAAAAAAAAAAAAGGATCTGCAATGAACAAAAATCTTTTTCTGTTACTTTTCCTTCCTTAAAACCTCTAAAACATAAAAACTCAGCTTTTAAATGGTTTTAGTCTTAAATAAAATGTATCAACATTCCACAACTCTAATAGTGGATGGCATTCTTCTTCACTGAAGACTGCTAAAACCTTTCCTGAACCCTTAACTTATACCTAAGGCTCTGATGATCTCATGGCAGGACCCATTGTTTTTTGTTTTCTCAAATATAATTTTTATTTCTTCATTGTCAATAAATGTGCAACCACCTGTCAGCATTGCCTTTAGATGTAGTGGAACGATTCCATTTATATTCATTAAACTGTTTAAATTTTCTGTTGAAAAATTGCTTTTGCTTATGGATTACTATGCTTGGAAAAGTTTGGTACTTTCTATGAGGACTAAATGCTGTGGTGTGATCCTGGCCCTGCACCTCCTTTTTGTCTCACCAGGATGAAAATATTGTGCATTGTTTTGGACCTGGTAATTTTAAAATTTAATTAGCCTGGTGTATTCTAAGGCCATGGAGATTCTTGCATTCTTTTCCGTAGTCACAAATCAAAATCAAAGTTCTTTGATCAAACATAGGTTACATAACAAAAAATAAATAACTGGAATCACATTCTAAATAACCTTTACAGGATTCAGAAATTGTATAATTTGTGCACAGTAAGTCAAATCTGGGATTAACAGAATATACATGTTAAAATGCCAATCCAACATGATTAAACTCTTTCCAGCTGTCTTAGAGGGTCACTGAAACTTAATTTTACTTGTCATCTGGTCTATTTCTAGATGTCCTAAAAAGTCAGAATGTAATCTGTTTTAACTAACAATGAAAATATTTCAAAAGTTTAAAGTTTGTAATTTTAAAATTGAAACTAAAATTAAAGTTAAATTGAATGAATTCTAACCTAAATTTCTTTTAAATAATACTACACGCACTAAAAAGAATCCCCAAATATAGTAAAATAAAATTAATATGAAATGCCATAAGATGTAAGCTTTTGAATGACCCATGTCCTTTGTACTTACATGAGAAACATTATATCACTAGGTTTTTATATATATATAAAAAATGTAACCTCATATACATACTTAAACTTGAATTAATACACAAAAGTTTACTAATTCTGAGAAATGACTTAGATAGTTTTGTAGTCTGGGCCATTAATATTACTTAAATAATATCTAAATTAAAAGTTTAAAAATTGTAATTTACATATACTTTGATATGAAAAATTTTTTTACTTACTATGAGTAATTATCCTTCTGTTATAAAGTAATATAGTCTAAATTAAAACTAACAATGAAAATATTTTAAAATTTTTTTAAATTTTAAAATTTTAAAATTGAAATTAAAATTGTAGTAAAATAAAATGAATTCTAACATGTTATTTATACATACATATGAAACTTTATTAATTAGGTTACATATATTTGAAATAAATAAATTAATTAATTAATAAATAAATAAAGTTTACTAAATCTGAGAAATGACTTAGCTAGTTTTGTAGTAAGTGCCATTAATATTACTTAAATAATATTTAAAAAAAAAAAAAAAAAAAAATTTACATATACTTTGATATGGAAAAATAATCTTAGTTAATATGAGTAATTTTCCTTCTGTTATAAAGTAATATAGTCTATTAAAACTAAACAATGAAAATATTTTAAAATTTTAAAGTTGTAATTTTGAATTTGTAATTAAAATTGTAGTTAAATTGAATGAATTCTAACCTAAATTTCTTTTAAATAATACTACACGCATTAAAAAGAATCCAAAAAATAACACCTATAGTAAAATAAAATTAATATGAAATACCATAACATGTAAGCTTTTGAATGACCCATGTCCTTAAGTACTTACATGTGAAATATTATAATAATAGGTTTATATATAAAAGAAAAGTTTACTGAATCAGTGAAATTAAGTAACCATTTCTGCTGTCATAGTCATATACAAAAAAAAAAAAAAAAAAAAAAAATGTAACCTCATATACATACTTAAACTTAATGTTAAAATAATCCTACATAATATAATGGATTCTAATACATTTAACTGTTCTTAAAAAGAATATAGTAAAATAAAATTAAAAAGGAAAATATTTCAAATCGTAGTTAAATAAAAAGTATTGTAAAAAAAAATCTTTAATTTTAAAAGATGACGTTGAAAATTTTTTTACCGTTAACAATTTTTTTTTTTTTTTTTTTAAATTCAGACGACATCCATTCAACCGACGTCAGGTTTCAGTGTAAAATACATCCTCACCCCTTACCAAAAAAAGCTAATAACTGATACAATGATACTGTCATAAGGAAAATCTAGACACCCCGTGTTCAAAGAATATTTAATTTGGAAACGTGATTTTATGTGTTTTAAAACCAAGTAAATTTTAAAGTTACTCAAAATTCGCTTGAAGATGAGAAATGGAACTAATGCTTTTTTAATTTATTTTAAAAAATAAAATTAGGTGTTTTAGCTTCTATTTTTGAAACATGGTTGGAAATTATGAAAAAACCATATTTTTAAATCAATTAATTTATAATATTTAAAAAAGCACTATTTTGTAAAAATAAAATATCTATAAGAACACGGATTTTATATCTTACTGTTCTTTCTTTTTATTTATTTATATATATATATATATATATATATATATATATATTGGTATGTATGTATTCTTTTATATGTAATTAAAATGTACTAACTACTCCAAATTCTGTTCTTAAATTGCAAATATTCAATATGGAATTTTTCAAGTCTTCCAAACAACAAATGATTCAATTTTTGTCTCTTACCGCCATAGTTGTTTTTATTGCTGCCACCTCGACCTCGACTCCATGTGTGGTAACTGCGAATTGATCCTTTACGTGGTCCCTGATTGTCCATTCGATTTTTGGGACTGGAAGAGAACTTGCCAGTATCATGCATCCTTTGCTTAGGCGTTGTATACTTTGGGATGCCTTTAAAAAACCAAGCTCCAGACCTCTTCCATACCTGCAACAAAACAAAACAAAAAATGATTTTGTTTTAACAATAGTCACTTAAAATATCATCAGATTATGACCTTTTGCAAACTATTTGAATTTATGATGAAAACCTTGTAACTTTTTCTTTTATAACACTGGCCTACATGGGTACTTTGATATGGTGTAATGGTTAGCAAGGTTGTTTTGCTAAATTAATTATGACTGAGTAGTGAGTTGGACCCTCACTGGGTGCACCATACATTCAGCTTAGATGCAGCACAAGCCAAATCTAAGCTACACTTAGAAAATCCATGGGTACTTTGATATGTTATAATGGTTAGTAAGCTTGTTTCATTAAATCAATTATGACTGGGTTTGATCATCACAGGGTGCTCCATACTTTCGGCCTTGTTCCACATCTATGCTACACTTAGTAAATCACTATAACACTTGCCTACATACACTTTCTTTTCTAATTTTTGGATGCTGAGTCCAACAATCAAGTCTATTTTTACTGGCTAGCTTCACATTTTACTATACTTGAGTATTAAAAAAAACTCTTTATAGCCAAATTTCCCATAATGTTCAAATTAATTCTGAATGTCTTTTGCAAAAAAATCAGCTGCTTCTTATACTATGATAATGATTGATGATAATGACATTGTGATTTTAATGTCCCCACTTTAGGTTGCATCAAATATTTGTAATAGAAACTAGAGTTAGATAGGATATGGTATTCTGGACCAGTAAACTAAAACTAATAGTGGAAAACAGATGTTTTTGGATTCAGCATCTGGAAATTGTGAAAAATTAGCCAAAAAATCCCATGAACCATGAAAAAAATTGTCAGCATGTACAATTCTTATCTCTATTTCTGTTAATTGGGTATGAAAAAGAAAAGGGTAGATACATAAATGTTTAATTAATAGTAGCAGAATGGCTGCTATATCTATTGTCAGCTTTGCCATTCCCAAACCACTGCCCTGTGAAACTGACACCCAACAGGATGTTTCCTCCTATCACTACAATCTTAACCTGTTCAAAGCTAGGGTTAACCGTTATCTTCCACTCTTATACACACAAACGGCTTCATAACGTAACCCTCTATCTTGAGTGGCTCACGCGCCTTGTAAAAGGTGAACCATAGTGTAAAAAATAATAAAATACAAATAAATAAATAAATTAAATGTATTAAAAAACAATAAAATGGACACCAAAAAGTCTTGTCCACTGGATTTAAAACAGCATTTGATGCAGGTAGTTAGCAAAGTCTGTTAAACAACAAAGGTTTAGAAACGTCTTTAAATTGTTTAAAGCTGGGATGAATTTTATAAAAGCTTCTGGTAGGAAATCCATTAAAAAACATATTTATAGTATATTTATTTAGTGTTGCTTGAAAGGAAAAAGAAAAAGTTTTAACATGAGATACTTTACATTTTATGAATGAGTCTCGTAAGAAATCAATTAAAACATATTAACAGTATTTTGTTTGGGATATTATCTTTAGTCTTTATCATCCTGAAACAAACCTTGGCATTTTATAGTGAAAAGAGTCTCATCTACCAAGAACAGAGCACGGAATAGTTAAATTTAAAACCTCCAGTACAAGTTGCCCGATTAATGAATGCCAAATGTTTCCTTATAAGGAAATAACTAATATTACCATTCTTCTTCTTCTCCTCAGTGACATGTCCTTTGTAGTGAATATGAAATAAAAATAACTCTCTTTTCTTCACTGTTTTCAAATTCATGGGCCTATGTGAAAATTTATTTTGACCAATGGAAAATGGAGTGGTTCACAAAATGAGAAAAAAGTAATGAGCTGATGTAAAATCGCTTTTTGCTATAAATAGGCAGAAAAAGTTGAATCAAGACAGAGAGAGAGAGAAAAAGCAGAAAGAAGCAGGAGTCAGGAAAATCCAGAGTTCCACGTGTCTGAATAACGCTGATGTCAAATTACATGCTGATACTTTATCATTTACTAATGAGAGCAGGGCAATTTCAAAGAACTCAGTTCAACTCCAAATCAAAGTAACTTAAAATATCTCTTCATTCATGTTGAATACATGCTAGGCCACAAAAATCTCCTGAGCCGACCAAGCATAGAAATAAATACAATATGGGAACCAGTAATAAGGAGTGCCAGAGAAAAGCAATGATAACAAAGTTGCAATATGAACTCTGGTAAAAACATGCAATGATAACAGCAAAATTGCAATATGAGCACTGGTAAAAATGGTTGCTGAAGACATTAGGTTTATAATACCCAGAAATTCATACCCAAGGACACATGGCATGGTGGATAAAGGCGTTGGTTAAATCCAGTGACAGGACTCAAAGAGTGTGAGTTCAATACCCGGTTAAGGCAGTGGGGAACTTTCAGAGGGAAATTAACAGGAGATAACTGATAACTGATGTCCATTAAACATAGCACGTGGAACTAGAACAGTCTACCCCAGTGTGTGAAAGAAAGGGTTCAGTTCAACATTCCAACCACCTGAAGAAGACCGGAGCGTAAAATGGCCGAAACATTGTAATAAATATAGCGACAAAGATGAGGTTCGAAAAAATGTAAATAATGTACATAATACCTCATCTCAGAAACATAGACAGACTTTGAATACAACTGTATAACTTTTATGTGAAAAACAAATTCTCAGTTTGTTTTAAACACTTTGGAATATTACTTTGTGTCCAATGATTTAATATGAACTTTTTCTCTTATTGACAATTCATTGAAACTATGAACTTGAAGTATTTGATTCCTTTTCTTAAAACAAGCTAATGACAACTTCAAAAATGTAAATTTGTAAATAAATTCCTTATCCTGTTTTGTTAAATATAACGTGTGTGTTTCCTCATCATTATCCCTCAGTACTTCACCCTTCAGGGTCTTGATGATCATCGCTCACCATAATTTCCTGTCCTTTGTAGCTCTTAATAAATTTTGTCTTTTTGTTATTTCTCCTAAATGCTGTTCTGTCATCCATTTACTTAAGCTTGGTAGGTCATGGGTTGTTTTCATCTGTACCTCTTGCCTTCAATGTCTTGTGCGTACGAAATATCAACTGTCTCTTTCTTCAAATAATGTAACCCCATAGATATCTATTAAAAAAAATCGACATTTTATTATGAAAGAGTCTTATCTAACAAGCACAGTGCATTGAACAGTTGAGTTTTAAGCCTCCATTCAAATACTTTAACAACAGGGCTATCTATTAAAAATATCTTATTGCGAAATAGTCATATCTACATAGTACAAAAGATTGAGTTTAAAGCTTCCAATCAAATACTCGGTGCTATCTATTAACAAACATAAGCATTTTATAATGTAAATATTAGTTGTTTAAAACCTCCATTCAAATAATCTAACAACAGAGATATCTATTAACAAAAATTGGCATTTGTAATGAAAGAATCATATCTACCATGTACAAATCATTAATCAGTTGTTTAAAGCCTATATTCAAATAATCTAATCACAGAGATACCGTTTAACAAACATTGTCATTTGATAGTGAAAGTGTCTTATCCACCTAGTAAAGAGCATTGAATTGTCAAGTTTAAAGTTTCCATTTAAATATTCTAACTACAGCGATATCTATTATCTTGGGATGGATTTGAGACTTGTAATTTGATTGGTTCTGTGTTGTTCAATACTGTAGGCTTCAATACAAGAATTAAGAAGTTTTGTAATATGTCTGCAATTGAAGATGCTAGCTAGACTCAAGTGATTTTGTGGTGTTTAAAAAGTAAAATCAAAATGAAACTAAAAGCAAGTAAACAAGGAAAAAGAGAGAAATTTCGAAACTTCTAAGTGAGAACATTAATGAGATTTCTAATTTTGAAATGAAATATTTATTTACTTTGTTCTTGGAAAATTATTTCACCATTTTAATGAAAATTTATTTTGAGGATTTTATTCTCTAGAAAATAAGTTAAAAATATAAAAAACTGAGAAAATGAGATCATGTGTCACTGTCTCAGCATTAATAGAAAAGTAATAAATTAAATTTTATTTAAAGAACAAAGAGATATATATATATATATATATATATATATATATATTTCTGAGATGAGATAATGTAATTATTTACACTATTTACATCATTTGGACTGTTGTCCTCATCTTTGTTGCCATATACACGATGTTTCAGCTGTTCTATGCTCTGGCCTTGTTCAGGTGATTGGAATTTCAAACAACCCTTTATTTTGCCCACCAGGGTAGATTGTTCTAATTCCACATGTCATGCCTCTTCTGGATACCTCAACTCTCCAAGTTTTTGTTTACCACAGCAGTAGCCAGGTATTTTTATGTTCCATAAAATCTTTTCTTTTTCATCATCGATTACCCTCTACAGCTTATGACTATATCATTATCCGCACACCGAAATCTAAATTTTTTATAAAGTTTCCAATGAAGCCATTTTGTTATGTTGTGCAAACATGGGACATTCTGGTAGTTCATCTGCAATAGTTTCATCTGCTTCACCATGCCATCTGCATGCTACCAAAATGTCTTGTCTGTGTATTTTCTGATTACTCTCTTTCTAATTCCCTGGTCCTGAGTAGCAATTATCATCATCTTGCGGCCTCAGCCGAGATTGAACTCACCAATACTTTGATTGGTGTAGTTCATAATCTTGTCAATAACTGAGTACTTGATGCTTCGCTAGGGCTATCAAGGGTGTTTTTTATCGTGACACCATCACTCAATGGATTGCCAACCAAGGCTCAGAGAGACTCCATTCACCCTCATCTCATGATAATAATCATACTGTCCCCTGTTTTTTTAGATTACCTTTTCTCAACCATTCAAAAGTCTTCTCACTTTGTTCTGTGTTTTGAAAAAATTCCTCATGTTAATGTTTTTTTTACTATCCCATTATTTTCTTTGTTAATATTATTATTATTCCACAGTAAGTGACAAATATATAAAAAGTAAAATTGGTCACTTATTGTGGAATGGTGGTATTATATTACAAAAGTATATTACCAAAAACATTTTTACTACAGACTTTCAAGTCA